ACAAGATTTATGTGGCACCCAGACGCAGCCACACCCATCAGCACAATACAATGATAATAAATAAGCACACATTAACATGCAAAATGTCACCACCTGTCATTTGTTACAGACAATGAACATCAAACACCACTCACAAAAATAGTTAGAGACTATAACAATATGTCGCCACTTTTGGTGGTAACATAAAAATGGATAAAAATGTATGTACAGCACAATATAATGACATTAGAGCAATTTTTATTTCAATTAATAAATATTAACAATTATTTTTCAATGTCAAGAACATATATCAAAACATCTCATGTATCAAAATCTGAAAGAACTATCGTTTATGTTACAATTTATCACTATGATGTAAAATTTCTTCAATGAAAAAGCGATTTAATATATACTCCTCTTCAATCTGTCTTCCATTTGGTCTATTATTAATAAATTCTCCAATTTAATACATTCTCCTAAAAAATCAAAGCTTTCACAGCATCATTAAATTGAAAAGAAGTCTCAATGATTTGTCCCATCTAGGATTGCCTCATTTCAGACAGTCACATGACTAGAATTAGCCAATCAGATAGCCTGGTGAGAATATTTCTATGACTTACTCAAGGTATTGATTCAAATTCAGATTCTTGATAAGGAGGTAACAGAAATGGCCAACGGTGAAAGCGTGAGTCCAGTTATGGTATGGTGGGTCACGGTATCCCTTCTTGACCATGAGTAGAAAACGAGCGAGTGTATTCCTATGTATCCGCCATTTGGTAATAAACCCTAGGTCTTCTACCATGCTAAGACAGGACTGAAAATACAACAATAGAGAGGTAAGTTACACACATTTGCAAGAATTTGAATATGATTGCGTTATATCATGACCTCCGGGGATTATTATCCCCTCTAAATTGGCTCATATGAGGAACTTGTTACAAGTTTCTTTTAACTTCAACTAATCCTAAAATATTATAGTGTATCAATTAGTACTTAAAAATACTACTTTGACAAATGTTGAGTTATGTACCATTACAAGTAAGAACTTCCAAAAATCATAAATGGAAAATATATCCATTAAAAAGAAAATCTTACCAATATGTGTTCAGATTCAGGAATACTTCTAGGTGTGTATGAGAACCTATCAAAAGTTGCAGCTATAGAGTGGGGATGAGGGATCTTACATGTTGTAAATTCTTCAGCATTTCTATCTTCCACCTGTTAAAAATAAGAATCTAATGTCACCGAGTATTGAAATTAAACTCAACAAATATACTAAAAAAACACCTTTGTGAAAAGTGAGAGAACAATGTAAGTTTAATTTTATTTTTTCACCTGGTTCATCTGATTGAATATTTTTGGAACATCTCAGTCACATTTGATCGAAATTTGAGTCTACATGTGTGCAAAAATACCTCCTTTATGAAATGTAAGAGAATATGTGTAATGTATAATTAATTTTCTTTTCTAAAGTTATTCCCTGGCTTGTATTGCTGAATGGAACATCTCTTTAAGTGCACCATTTCAATCTTGGAGTAAAAAGTTTTGTGACCTATTGACTAATTGTTAAATGAACATCTGTCCGTGGAATAATGTATATACTTCTGAGTGAATTTAAAATCTTATAGCCAATTGTTAGTTGGTGAATGGTGTACCTACCTGCATATGGTATATCATAAGATCACTTGCTAGCTTGCTTCTGTACTTTGCATCAATCACCTTTCTGTACATTAGACACTGGAAATACACAACAGTTGCTATAGTGATACATATTCACACCCTGTGTCTGTTGTTATAGTAACCATATGAACTAACAGTTAGATATCACATAAACTGGCTATTGTATTCATAATAACTTAGCTTCCATGATTTAGATACACAGATTTTGATAGTTACTATACCAATCATAATTGTTAGTTACTATGATGAAAATAGGCTAGTTGCTATGGTAATACATTTCAAACATTGGATTTATGATCTTTTCTACATGCACTTTAACAAAAAAATCTTAAAAGGAATTCATATCAACTTAATTCCCTGGTAATATTAAAACTAGTGATATGGTAATTTGAATCTTGTTAAATTTCATGTTTGCATGATCATGATTGGATATTTACAATGTAAAAAATATAACGTACGTGTACAATGCTAATACAGCAATAAACACCAAAGGCTCTTGCGATGTCCTCATCAAACTGTGTGAAGAAGGCCCCATTGAGCTTGTTACAAAGTTGTGCCACACCAGTCACATTGCCCTTCTCATCCTTTATTGGAAAACACAGGATATTTCTGAAAAATATCATTCATAAATAAATACTAAAGGTAGGAAAGATCTGTACAAGTTTAACATCCTGCATTACATCCCTTCTTAATATTATCTAACAGCGATTTTTACCTTTAGATAATAAGTACATCCATGGATTATGTTAAATTCCTGTAATGAGTAATATACTATAAGCACCCCAAATGGATTTAAAATAATATGTACAGGGTGTCCCGAAAGTATGGGGCCCCCCTAGGCAGACATACACCAATGTCCCCATAGTATAAATCATATATCATTTTAAAGCTTGTCCAAAGTTACATTGATTTGCCAAGTATCATGGTTCAACTCACAATAGTAAAAGGTTACACACATACTCAAAATGTAGTGTTTTACCAAAATCAAAGTTTAGTTTTACACAAAATTAATAGTTGCCGCGTCTCCCTTGGCCATGTTAACAGCAGCAATTCTTTCCAGATATGACCTTAAATACACTGCAAGTAGGGGTATGGCATTTAATAATCCTCATAAAACCTTTTTAAGGCATTTTAGAAGAGTTTTCTTGGAGTATCAGCCCTTACCGACCTCTTTTTACAACTCAACACCATCCTCTCTTTAATGATAGCACCCAAATTTTTGGTCACATTCAGGTTAGCGGTGTTTCCAGGATACTGATTTTAACTTTAATTTTGGCCAAACACTAAGTTTTGAAATGCCTGTAACTTTTTCCCATTTGTAAGTTGTACAATGATACTTTGCAAATCAATGTAACTTTGGATGAGCTTTAAAATGATATATGACTACTATGAGAACATTTGTGTATGTCTGCCTAGGGGGGGCCCATACTTTCGGGACACCCTGTACATGATTGTATATCATTGGATTTATCATTAAGATGATCTAATGATGACCTTGGGCCAAATATACATTTAACGATTCATATCAATTTTCCAAATACCTGGTTCTGAAGCCTGTGGTTTCATCTATTTTCCTGTAGAAGAGAGGATGAGAGTAAGCATCTTTGATATTTAGAAGTTCCCCTGTAGTAGCCACATGGCCAGCAATGCCTTGAGTTGCAGGTAGGCGGATTTCAGATTGCATCTGAAAAAATGTCAATTTAAATGTCAGAAATCACTTTCTTTTAAATATGTAAGCACTAGTGCCATTAGGTCACATAATCATAACACGTACAAGTGCCGCTGGTGAATATCAACCAGGTACTAGGTAATATTCCCAAGAGCTAGGGAGATTCAGGCCAAGGTTCTTTCAAAATCATACAGTTGTAACCATTTTGGAGCTTTTTTCAAGTGATTTTGGACAAAAATCATCAAATTTCAACCCCTGGAAGTTTTTAAAGACTGAACCACCTTGGCAAAACCTCATCTATTCGATAATTGATGGATTGCCCTTTTATTATATTTACTTAAAATCACACCTTCACAAGAACCAATCAGAATCAATCTGGAAGCTACTGTAACACTGAGCAATCAAATGATGTCTGAGGCATGGTTGAACAAAGCATTTACATGCAATATGTCACCACCTGCCATTTGCACCAGCCGACGAATGCTTGACAACGTCCACAAAAAGTTTGAGACAATAACAATATGTCACCAATTCTGATGGTGACATCAGATCAGAACAATCTCAACTGAGTGTAACAAAATTTCATATCATCAACTGAGTATAGCATCAAATTGTTTCAATTCTAGGTGGAATATATATGAAGCTACTCACCCCTGGTGTCTGTCCATCAAAGACTTTAGCGACAAGCTCATTGCTCTCTTGTTCCAGTAGAAAGACAGAACATCTTTCTGCCTTTGTGAGATTCCTGGCCTCTTGCATTATCTTACTCAATAAAGCAGTCAAGTCATCTACAATTGAAAACAATAAAGTCATATACAATAAAAAAATATTAAAGTCATAATTATACAATAAAGAAGAGTCAACTACAATAAGGTAAAGTTAAAGTGTCATTTACAATAGTAGGCATTAAAGCCATATACAATAGAGAACAGTCAAGTATAGAGAAGAATGGAGTCATATACGATAAAGAAAAGTCATCTACAATAAAGTAAAGTTGAGTCAGTTACAACAGAAAACATGAAAATCAAGTCATCAACAATTGAGAAGAATCAAGTCATATACAATAAAGAAGAGTCATCTACAATAAAATAAAGTTGAGTCATTTACAATAGAAAACATGAAAATCAAGTCATCAACAATAGAGAACAGTCAAGTTATATAAAATAGGGAACATTCATCTAAAATAGTTAACAGTTAACACATAAAATTATGTTTCTTTCATAAAAAAATCTGCTTCTTTATTTTAATACCAAATGTTGTAATTTCCTATATAGTCTTAAAGTAATTAAATGCAGAAGTTACTTTCTAGTTTTCAACTTTAAATGTTAGTTCATTTATAGATTCTAGAACTTGTAAGAAACATATCTTTGTTTTTAATTCTAGATTTTTAGTTCTTCTACACTTGTTTTTATTCTAGATTTGTTTCTATCTCTAGATTTTTAGTGCATAACAACATTGTTTTAAATTCTAGATTTTAGTACTTCTAGATCTTCAGTACTTATATACGGTACTTATATACCTTTGTTTTTAATTCTAGATCTTTGGTACTTACATGTATCAACACAACTTTGTTTTTAATATCTAGTACTTATACGTTATAAAGAGAATTTTTTTCTTATACTACTGATGATTTTAGTACCTAAGAACTTTTCTCTTTTAGTTCAACATCCTCCTAAGCAAGTGTCCAGAATCAGTACCTCCTTCTTCCCCCCTGCTATAACCAATTTGGAAGTGCCCGATTAAACTGAATTACATGTATGTGATCTTATTATGCACAATGACTTATACATGATTTCTGTCGCAGTGTTGCGACAACTTATCAGATTGCGAGTTCTTAATCGGGGAAATGCTAACTGCTTATCGCAGGGGTAAAAAGAAAGAATATATTCTGGATTTTGAAGCCCTGTGGTCGGGGGTTGTTAGTTCAATAACTGCCACTAGTTCTTACATCTTACATTTTTAGTCTACTCTTATCCTATGTCAGCTTACTCAACTCTTGGTGATGCTCAGAGGCCTGCAAACTTCTCGGGGCCTGTGTTGGCATTTGGGGATGAACTTGTAGAATCTTTGTATTAAGCCATTGGACACTAACAGTCTGAGAGGAAAGCAGTGGTGACCATTCATCTGAATTATTTAATCCCGATTTGGAACCTTCTGCAGCCGTTAATGATGCCTGATTGTAAATGTTACCAGATCGTGTAACTCCAAGTCGACTACGAAGGTGATATGAACGTGACGGGGATTCACTCCAAATATCCCTCTTTATTTGTTTTTTAGGGCTTGATAAATTCCTCACTGGTATTTTTCTTTTATGAGATGCTGTCACTTTTGAAAGGGTAGGTCTGTTATCTGCCTGGCCCTGTCTTAATGATGAGGTAACAGACTTTCCTCCGATTCTAAGTGGTGGCAAGGATTTAGACGTCTCGTCTTTTCTTTTATTTAATGTCTTAGCAGCATTAGTTTTACTTTTCAATGTTGGTTTCAAAGCCTTATTTGCGATGTTTACTTTTTTATTGTTTTTAGATTTTACGCGAGTTTTTGATTTGGCATTCAAGGGGTCTTTTTTAGAGTTGTGCATACTGTTGCTATTGGGGTCTAAAGGGACCCCTACGTCTCTAAGCAAACCAGACATAAACCCTGAATACTCACCAAGATTTTGGAATAGATTCTTGGCAACCTGTAGTAAAGCCTGCGTTTGATTTTTGAGTAATGTTTCATTCTTCAGATCTAGAGTGCTTTTCAGGATAGTGCTTGTGTACTTAAAGCACCCATTGATACTTGCTATATCAGCGTCTGTAAACCTGAAAATAAAATAAATTATTTATTTTATTTTATTTATTTATTGATTTTATTTATTGATTCTCAATTAACCCTTTATAGGGTATAAGAGTACAAAAGATACTGAATATGTAAATGCCATAAAGAGTTAATACAGAAAGTATGTAAAATACAAAGATAGACAAGGCATGCAAAATGTCATCAACTGCCATTTGTTACAGACAACGAATGCTGACCACCAAATACCAACTGCTGACCACAAACACCAACTGCCGAACATTATCCATAAAAAAGTTGGAGACTATAACAACCACTTCTGGTGATGACATAAAAAGGATGCTTGAGGTGTACAACCAGTCAGAATGAAACAAATCCAAACAATGATCTAATGTATGATTATAAACCTCCCAATAGAATGCAGATGTTAATTAAGTGAGGTAAATCTGAGAACTATTGACACACCCAGCAATGATGTAATTTCATACATTGTATTAGTTAAGCAACATGACTTTTACAGGTAATCATTATATTTCCTGGAAACTTCTCAATTCTTCATCTTCATATTGTGTTTATTTCTACACTTCAATCATATTATAAAGGTAATATTAACAAGAATTATGAGAAGTGATTAATTTTAGATATTAAATAAATAAATGTGATGAAATGGTGGATGTGGGATGAATACTATCTGGTCAAATTACACTAAGTCATTTCTGCTAGGAAAATGACAGAAATTGAAATAATGTCATCTGATCCAAAAAAGCTTTATGCAAACTGTAATGGAGCTCCATTACATTTGGGGAGGTAGAGCAGGAGACTTTGTATGGCATAGATAGAGTTAAAACTTTCTGAAGTTAACACCTTTAAAGCAATAAAAGTGTTCATTATGGGTAGTGTTGTTCTAAATCACAAGTTTTCTATATTCAGGAATCAATGGAGTATTTTCCAGAAAAGGTTCACGAGAGAGCTATCATTAATACAAAATTAATGTACGATATGTATGGTTGATGAGAAGTGAAATACTGTATGACTCAGTTTCATATAGAAAGTGATAGGTACCTGTTTCCAGAGAGCTTGTTTGCCACGCATGCTATTGCAATGACTTCTGTCTTAGCTGTGTTGAGCACAGGCACACAGAGCAATGATTGTAACCCTGACCCTGTCAATTTCACCAGATCTGCCCTGTGTTCCTAGAAATAAATGCAAATAGATGAATCCACTGGTTTCATATTGTCAATTTCACCAAATCTGCCCTGTGTTCCTAGAAATAAATGCAAATAGATGTATTCACTGGTTTCATATTGTCAATTTCACCAGATCTGCCCTGTGTTCCTAGAAATAAATGCAAATAGATGTATTCACTGGTTTCATATTGTCAATTTCACCAAATCTGCCCTGTGTTCCTAGAAACAAATGCAAATAGATGAATTCACTGGTTTCATATTGTCAATTTCACCAGATCTGCCCTATGTTCCTAGAAACAAATGCAAATAGATGAATTCACTGGTTTCATATTGTCAATTTCACCAGATCTGCCCTGTGTTCCTAGAAACAAATGCAAATAGATGAATTCACTGGTTTCATATTGTCAATTTCACCAGATCTGCCCTGTGTTCCTAGAAATAAATGCAAATACATGTAGATAAATTCACTGGTTTCATATTGTCAATTTCACCAGATCTGCCTTGTGTTCCTAGATATAAATGCAAATAGATGAATTCACTGGTTTCATATTGTCAATTTCACCAGATCTGCCCTGTGTTCCTAGAAATAAATGCAAATAGATGAATTCACTGGTTTCATATTGTCAATTTCACCAAATCTGCCCTGTGTTCCTAGAAACAAATGCAAATACATGTAGATGTATTCACTGGTTTCATATTGTCAATTTCACCAGATCTGCCCTGTGTTCCTAGAAATAAATGCAAATAGATGAATTCACTGGTTTCATATTGTCAATTTCACCAGATCTGCCCTGTGTTCCTAGAAACAAATGCAAATAGATGAATTCACTGGTTTCATATTGTCAATTTCACCAGATCTGCCCTGTGTTCCTAGAAATAAATGCAAATAGATGAATTCACTGGTTTCATATTGTCAATTTCACCAGATCTGCCCTGTGTTCCTAGAAACAAATGCAAATAGATGAATTCACTGGTTTCATATTGTCAATTTCACCAGATCTGCCTTGTGTTCCTAGATATAAATGCAAATAGATGAATTCACTGGTTTCATATTGTCAATTTCACCAGATCTGCCCTGTGTTCCTAGAAACAAATGCAAATAGATGAATTCACTGGTTTCATATTGTCAATTTCACCAGATCTGCCCTGTGTTCCTAGAAACAAATGCAAATACATGTAGATGAATTCACTGGTTTCATATTGTCAATTTCACCAGATCTGCCCTGTGTTCCTAGAAACAAATGCAAATAGATGAATTCACTGGTTTCATATTGTCAATTTCACCAGATCTGCCCTGTGTTCCTAGAAACAAATGAAAATAGATGAATTCACTGGTTTCATATTGTCAATTTCACCAGATCTGCCCTGTGTTCCTAGAAACAAATGCAAATAGATGAATTCACTGGTTTCATATTGTCAATTTCACCTGATCTGCCCTGTGTTCCTAGAAACGAATGCAAATTGATGAATTTACTGGTTTCATATTGTCAGTTTCACCAGATCTGCCTTGTGTTCCTAGAAACAAATGCAAATAGATGAATTCACTGGTTTCATATATTGTCAATTTCAACAGATCTGCCCTGTGTTCCTAGAAACAAATACGAATAGATGAATTCACTGGTTTCATATTGTCAATTTCACCAGATCTGCCCTGTGTTCCTAGAAACAAATACAAATAGATGAATTCACTGGTTTCATATTGTTAATTTCACCTGATCTGCCCTGTGTTCCTTGAAACAAATGCAAATAGATGAATTGGGAAAATCCTTTTTAAATTGATTTTCCTGTTTATAAACATACCCACCTCTCAATTAATTGCCTTAGATTCCTTTGCAATCTAACATATGGTATCCTAACACCCCTCTGGTTTTTACTGATGACATTAACTTGGACGCGTCCAACTAAGTATAAAACTAGTAAGTACACGTGCTGAGGTCCTCAATTTCCCTATTCCCCCTAGTGAATAGCGGGGAGGTTGGGTGGGACTTTGGTAATTGAGAGGTGGGTATGTTTATAAACAGGAAAATCAATTTAAAAAGGATTTTCCCAGTATTATTACACATCCCACCTCTCAATTAATTGCCTGAATGTAGCCAAAAGGTGGTGGGTGAATTCAGTAATAACCAGAGGGCCCCACAAACCATGAGTAGAAACATTCTGAATTTAATTTTAATAAATAAATAAGAATGTTTGATGAAAACAGGTTTTGAACTCACCCTACTGTAATGTTGAAGTTATATGTCGTACAGGGTGCCTGCAATCATCATAGGACCCAATTTCCGCAGTTCTCCCTCAATCACTGATGTATCTCTGAGGTAGAAGCTGGTAAATGTGTTGTGATTTGCCCATGAGCATGCTTTGAGAACTGCGGCCACTGATAAGTTTGCTTGAACAGCTAGACTTGCAGAAAGGGCCCTGGTTTCGTGGGGTTTAATGGAGTCGATCCTGTAATCTGATTCTTGTGAATTTTTGTATGTATACAAGATCAGATTTTTCACCCAAGATGAGATAGTGTTAATGTGTATATCTCCATCGTATCCAGGCTTAAATGGAATAAAAAGTCTATTCCTGTTTCCTCTTCTAGAGACTGTGGCTTGTAGGTAAAAGCGTAAGGCTCTCAGAGGGCAAAGTTTCCTGTCAGTTGAATCTTTATCCACGAAAGAGGAAAGAGCTTTTATGGAGATTGGTTGAAAACGAGATTCTCCTTCCGCAGCTGATAGTGATTTAGGCAAAAAACCTATAAAGGGATACATAGTCACTTGATCCCTGTTTTCTGACCATTTTAGACGTCTGAAGTCCAGTGCATGAATATCACTTCTTCTCTTGCCAGAAGCCATGAGTAGCAGGAATAGAGTTTTCCATGTTGTGAACTTTAATTCCGCTGTGGCCATAGGTTCAAATGGTGCTCTTGTTAGTGCATTTAGAACGAACACTAAATTCCATTTGGGAATAATGTTTTTAGGTATAACATTTTCTAGTTTGAAGGATCTAATAAGATCTCCTATTAGTGAATTGTCAGTGAGGTCTATATCTGAAGACTTTTTTAGTACTGTGTTGATAGCTGTCCTATAGCCTTCTATAGTTGGAATAGAGAATTTCTTTGTCTTGTGTAGGTAGAGAAGGAATTCTGCGACTAGAGGTATATCTGTTTGGCATGGATTTGTATCCCGTTCTTCACACCAAAGAGTGAAGGTGTTCCACCTGGAATCATAGAGTTTATTTGTTGATTTCCTTCTGGATGATTCCGATATTCTAGAAGACACTTCTGAAGAAAATCCTTGTTTTTTGAGGGAGTCGTTGACAATTTGCAGGCGTGAAGAGCAAATATTTCTGGAGTTTGATGAAACATGCTTGTGTTTGGCATCTTTAGAAGCTTTGGAGATGTTGGTAGAGTTCTTGGATGGTCTACTAGTAGATCCAGTAACTGAGCGAACCAAGGTTGATTTGGCCATTTTGGAACTATCATTATGGCTTCGCAGGTGTGTGTTTTCATTTTTGTCAAGACTTTGTCCATCATGCTTGTTGGTGGAAATATGTAGAAATTCAGATTGTTCCATGACATTGACATTGCATCTGTTCCCCAGCTGTTTTGGTCTGGGACTGGGGATACGTACAGTGGTAATTTGTTGTTGTGACATGTTGCCATCATATCTATGTGGGGAGTTTCCCATATCTGCCACAGTGATTGCACAATTCGTGGGAGTAGAGACCATTCTGTGTTGACTATTCTGTTCCGAGATAGAGCATCTGCTCGTCGGTTTAGGGATCCTGCTATGTGTTTTGCTTTTATGTTGATTTGATGATCCTTGCACCAATTTAGGATTTCTTGGCTC